TTTCTTTGAAATAAGTTTTTTTTATTGGGCTAATAAGGAAAAATAAATACAATAGCTAATATATCCAATGGATGACAGAAGGTCAATATGCTAGATCCTTTACTTAACATGAGTAAAAAATTTTCTTCAAAAAATTATCAAAAGCAAAAGCAACTAAACCTCATCCACAAACTTCTATTCATTTAACTTTTTACAATATACAGTATATAATACTTTTACTATTTAGGAAAAAGTGATTTCCGATGCAAATAATGTTTAGAAAAAATTAGTAGTCGAGCATATTTATTTAATAACATTGGAAAAACAGATTATATTGGCAGTTCTTGAAAAAGATGATTTATGTTTTATTACATACATACTACAATCATTTTTATATATACAAGCAGTTTTTCTTTCCTTATAACTACAAGATTTACTAAAAATCCCACCAAAATACACTTATTCGGTAAAGCTTTCAGGAGAAGAACTAAATGGAAAAGAAAAAAAACTGTTTCGAATGTCTGGAAAGTATTTTGTAAACCAAGTAATCAACATGGAGCATAAACAATTTTTTAGATTATTTAAATAATAATAAAGGAATTTCCATTTAAAAAAAGAAATTTTCACAGTATGGATCGAAAAAAAATTAGAGTCTGGAAATCGTTCAGATTTTCAATGTTAATATAATTCAAAAGTAAGAAAGATTTGCGGGTAAGTCCATTTGAAACACATTTTCTTCCTGTTCTTAATTAGCAGTTGCTTGACTTATCTCTTCTTCTTCATCTAATACTAATAATAGTATAAATATATAATTATCGCTTTTTTACATAATAGATGATTTTTTTTTTATTATTAAATTATTCAAGGAAATCAAAGTGAAACAATTTGGATTTTCAAAAAAATATAAATACAATAGTCTTTTACTATCGCACACAGCAAGAGCTGTGAAAATTCTAAGGAAAGTGTTTAGGAGTTTTAGGTGGATTGGCTAATCGCTGTTAAGTTGTCTCTTCTGAATTTCATTAGAATCTTGAGTAACTCCTAGAATCTTAGCTAATGAAATCAGTTTAAGGTCAACTCCAGCCTTTGCCGATACAGTGAAAGATGCAAGCTGGAAGCAACTATCCCCTTATTGCATACATGAGTAGTGAAATTTTTTACAGCTTGATGGCCAAATGACCTAGTGATATTTTTATAATATTGTTTTTTATTATTGATCAAAACCATAAGTTTTTTTGATGAAATTAACCCATTTTTCTACTATTGAGCAGACTTCTTTTTGATTTGATTTAAACCATTCATTGTGTACTTGTGTACACTCACATGACAAATCTATTCTACATTCTGCCAGTTCCAAATGTATAATCTTTCAGCACGATGTGTGTGTTGGCACCTTTTACCATCAGGAAAAGTTTTTATCAATTTTGTTTTATAATTACATTTTTTTCCCATTGTTTCATTCGTTAATTGACATTTGTTCTGCCAACTTTAAACAAGTTATTGGATTTTTTTTTTTCTTTATTTAATACTATTATTATATCAATTAGTAATGTGTTTATGAAATTTGCCAATAAGTCAAAAAATTAAAAATCACAAACTTTTATAAATGTAAATGTAACCGGGCTCGTCATATAATAAAAGGTCTTTATTTATTTTAATGCGCAGAATATCCTTCACTTCTTTTGTAATATTTTTGTCCACGTAATCTATAAATGAACAGATTATAAATGATCTATTGGAGACTATTAAAAAAATGCTTTTTATGACAAAAAAAGGATCACAAATACCATCAAACTTAATGTAAATGTCGCATGGCTTCCCGGTTTTAATAAGTGATTTAGGAGGAGTTTCCTCGGATTTTTTTCCATAGAATAAAATATAAAGTATGTACAGTCCACACTGTCTATAACGGATCATTGGGATCAGGGAAATTTGTCCATTATAGAGAGAATTCGGTATAGAAAATTGTACTACATTAAGTCATGAATTCTATTTTTGAATTTTCTTTGTCATTTTCAATTCCTCATTGTAAATTCTCCTTAAACTGTTGTTCAACAAACAAGTTTACCTTTTCAACAGCTAATAAAGCATCTTGACTTGAAATAGGAGATGTCTCTTCGACGTCTTCTTCGTCCTGATTTTTTTTATTGAAATTCGACATAGAAATTATCATTTATTTCAAATAATTGATTTAATTTTTTTGTTGGATTTTTATAAACAACATTTTTTATTTTTTTATTTTGCGATTAGTAATTTTTATTAATAATAAATACAGGAGGGTCGAATATAACCCATTTTTTAGATCAACATGGATATTCAATACTTTGTACAAGTGTTAAGGACCTATGAACAAAATATTCTAACGAACGTTTTATCAATTATTCAATAGTTTGTACAAGCGTTAAGGACAAGATCTATGAACGAAACATTCTAATGAATGCTTTATCAATTATTCAATAGTTTACATAAATTTTTTATTTATTTTAACATATATTTTAACACATATTCATAACATCACTATGATAAATAAGTAATAAAGTCAGGGATAAATTTTAATCACTATTGTTGTTGTTTATTATTCTAATCATTATTTACAGAAAAGAAAAATTTTAATATCTATTTATTTATCATATTTACTTTTAAAATAAATGATTTATTATAAAAGACATACCTAAATGATCAACAATCTGTAAATATTCATAATAATGTATATTTGGACATCTATTTCTACTTATACTTGCAATTGGACACACCAAACAAAATTTGACTTTGAGGGTCAGGTTATTTCGGTTTTATTAACAACCTGCTTTAAAATTTTTCATAAGTAGATACATATGATAAAGAAGTTATATCTCAAATTTGGCGGTGGTTGCTACACATAAAGGGCATCAAATGAGGATGTGAAGACATTCGATTATAAAATACAGATCATTCGTCTATGAATAAGATAAATGCCAATCAATTTATTATTATTATTAATTTCGAAAAAACTTCTTAATAATTTAATTAAATAATATGGTATCAAACCGAAATAATAGCATTCATGAATCGATTCAAATATTTAATGACATAATTTTATTAATGCATAATCATAAAGTTTTATATATTTAATTTCATGTTAAAATTTTTTCGTCTTATTGATATGCATTTTGAATTTTAAATTCTAACACAAAAACTTCTATATAATGAAAAAATAATGCTTACCTCCAAGAATAAAATCTTTTATTTATCAAACTTGAAATAAATCTGAAATGATTTACAATAGGCTACACGTGACAAAAATCGGAAATAACCAACTTTAATGATTCTAACATTCATCATTAATTCCAAAATTCTATTTAAAATAGAGGATTTAAAGTCATTCAAAAGAAACTTGGAATTTTTCTCAAAAGGAAGATCCAGATTATTTTTAAGAATCTTAAATTGGAACAAGAGACAACATCACCAAAAGTTTCTGGAATAAGGGAAGACCTAGATAGAGAATTTTTAAATGAATTGTACTTAAAATTGATTTTGATATGAACAACAATAATAGATAGTTTTGAAAGTAAAGCATAAATATATATTCGCGAAAATTATTATTACACTTTAACATAAATTATTATTATAATCATTCAAGACTTGGCAATGCAAGCAAAAACAATTTTTTTAATAATTTTAATAAAGAAAAATTTTATCTTACAAGGCAAAAAGTATAGTAACCTTTTTTTATAAAAGGTTACTGATATATGTTTTTCGTCAATTTTCTCCCGCCGATCACTATATAGTACTCGATTGATAATTTTTTAATTGAACGAGGAGTCTGATTCTAATTAACGTTATAATTATAAATGAATTTCAAAAAAAGGGAAATCTGGACATCCAGAAAACAATCATAATAATTCCAAATGTTTCCTAAAAGAAAGTCTTTCAATGGTGATGGTGGTTATTGATGTAATTCGTTATTCTAGTTTATATTGTAACTAAGGATACCGACTACAGCTTTTGATGAGTTAAATTAGTAACAACGGAATGTTACGAAGCGCAACATTAATATTAATATTAACGCATTTTAAGATTATTTTTTAAGGTTCATCTCAAGTTTTTCTAAACATATATATTATTCTTAGATATAGCATACATGTTAATATTTTATCTATAAAATGTACTCAATTCGTATTATTACCATTATTTAATTCTTTTATCGGATGTAACTTTATTAATTTTCATTCCCATTTAAACTGACACATATAAATCTTTTCAAAGTATAATAAACACTTATTGTGTATGAACTGTTTATTTATTTTCACTTTCTATATTATAATATAAACATTATAGTTTGCATGTATCTTAAGCAACGTAAAAATTGTAACCAAAAATAAAAAATAAAGATAAATATAAGATGAAAGTAAAAAAAGTTAAAGAGATAAATGAAGTTATCAAAGAGCCAAAGAGCAAATACAGCTTTTATTTACTCTATTTCTATTTAAAATAAAATGAAAATCAACCAACAGTTAATATGTTTACAAAAACAATGGTAACAATAGTGAAATGATGAGAATACTTACATCCTGTATTCATTATTTAAAATAAAATGAAAACCAAACAGTTAATATTTTTCAACTGTAATAATAGCAAACAATAAAAATACTTACCCACTACCCATTATTTAAGATAAAACAAAATCAACAGTTAGTATGTTTTCAAAAACAATGATATTGACTGTAACAATAGTGAAATGATGAGAATACTTACCCGCTACCCATTATTTAAAATAAAATGAAAATCAACAGTTAGTATTTTTTCAAAACAATGATATTGACTTTAACAATAGTGAAATGATGAAAATACTTACAGGCTACCCATTATTTAAAATAAAATGAAAATCAACAGTTAATATGTTTTCAAAAACAATGATATTGACTGTAACAATAGTGAAATGATAATAATACTTACAGGCTATTTATTATTTAAAATACAATGAAAATCAACAGTTAGTATTTTTTCAAAAACAATGATATTGACTGTAATAATAATGAAATGATAAAAATACTTACCCGCTACCCATTATTTACAAAAATCAACAGTTAGTATGTTTTCAAAAACAATGATATTGAGTGTAATAATAGTAAAATGATGAGAATACTTACTTGCTATTTATTATTTAAAATAAAATGAAAATCAACAGTTAGTATGTTTTCAAAAACAATGATATTGACTGTAACAATAGTGAAATGATGAAAATACTTACCCACTACCCATTATTTAAAATAAAATGAAAATCAACAGTTAGTATTTTTTCAAAAACAATGATATTGACTGTAATAATAATGAAATGATAAAAATACCCACACACTATTTATTATTTAAAATAAAACAAAAATTAACAGTTAATATGTTTTCAAAAACAATGATATTGACTGTCACAATAGTAAATGATGAGAATACTTACACTCTATTTATTATTATTTAAGATAAAACGAAAATCAACAGTTAATATGTTTTCAAAAACAATGATATTGACTGTGAAATGATAAAAATACTTACGGGCTATTTATTATTTAAAATAAAATGAAAATTAACAGTTAATATTTTTCAAAAACAATGATATTGATTGTAATAATAGTAAAATGATGGAAATACTTACTTCCTATATTTATTATTTAAGATAAAGCAAAAATCAAACAGTTAATATTTTTTCAAAAACAATGTTATTGACTGTAATAATAGTGAAATGATGAGAATACTCACATTCTATTCATTATTTAAGATAAAATGAAAATCAACAGTTAATATTTTCAAAAAATCAATGATATTAATAATGAAATGATAAAAACACTCACACACTATTTATTATTTAAAAATAAAATGAAAACCAACAGTTAATATGTTTTCAAAAACAATGATATTGACTGTAATAATAGTACAAAAATACTTACACCACTATTTATTATTTAGAATAAAATGAAAACCAATAATTAATATTTTTTCAAAACAATGATATTGAGTGTAATAATAGTGCAAAAATACTTACGGGCCTATTTATTATTTAAAATAAAATGAAAGCCAACAGTTAGTATTTTTTCAAAAACAATATATTATTGTAATAGTAAATATAATAATAAATGAAATACCTCGCTTCACCAAATTATTGTTATGAATTGGGCTTGCTAAAGCTACAACAGCAAAGATAATCAAAAAGAGAAGAGAAATATTGAAATTCATTTTGATTTATTCAGATAATTTTTGTCAAGTTTTCACTTTTTCTTGATTTTCAAATTGTATGGGATTATTGTAAGAGTATTTATAAAAAAAATGAAAGCGAATTTTGTTTTTCAAATTGTATGCAGTTATTTATTGGAATTAAGATTAAAGCTGATTTCTATTTACTTTATTTATATCTTTATTTATTTATTATATTTCTTATTTCATTTCTTTCGCATCCCCGTGTGACTAAGTGTAGTAATGCGAAC